TCCAGCCCATGACAATGACTCATGCAAGTCTGTTCACAGATTTGTGCTGGGAAGGCCCGAAGGTCAACAGTGGAAGCTAGAAAGTCTGTGCCAGCAGAGTGAAGGATCTGTGCCATCAGGCTGAGGGATCTGCACTGCAGCTAGGAAATAACACTCAAAGTAAGGACCAGGGCTCCCCTGAAAAGTACCCCAGCCATCCTCAGGGACAACGAGGTCCTGAGCTCCTCCAATGAGAAGAGCCGAGTTCATGTCAGGAAGCCAGCGTGGCAAGCTTCTCCTGGAGATTGAACAGCACACATCTTCCCTTCCAGAGCCAGGAAGTGATACTCGAAGTAAGAACCAGAGCTCCCCCAAAGTGAACCACAGTCATTTGAGCAACAGTAAGGTCCTGAGCTTCTCTGATGAGAACATCCAAGTTTGAGTGGGGGGCGGGGCAGCTCAGCTCTCCTCCAGGAGGCACCAACACACTTCTTCCTCTCCAGTTCTCCCTTTGATGTGCCAGCAGTCCCCAGGCAGACCACTCACACTCAGCACCCCATTGATTCAGTTTGGCTGGGTCTTACAAATTGACCCCCAGTTATCAATCCACCACACTTGTTTAAATTCTTCTCTAAGCGGCCTTTGCATTTTTGTTAAACTCTTAAAGACAGATTTCTACTGCTTTCTGCCTGTTGTTATACATACAACTCTCTGTGTGAATTATAGCTACATTACTATTCAGGTCAAGCTTTGAGTCTGATTTTTAAAGCTCAAGGGCTTTTATCTATTTAGACATTCACAGACTGTATTCAATAAAGGAACAATACACTGCATATGCTACGGGCTATAAAATTTACTATGTACTTACTATATGTTTTGTGAGTTACTGGTGTAAAATTGAAGCTTGCTGTGAATATTTACAGTAAATTATGTCATTTTTCTTCAAATTTTGGCCAGCAACAAAACAAAACAAAAACCCTTATTATTTGATCTTTATGAAATTGATTAGTTCCCTTGTTGCTTTAAATATTCTGTTTAGTGCTGTTGTTACTCTAAGCTCATTATTTTACTTTTCTTCAGATCTTGTCACATTTTCCTTTCAATTACAGGGGAAGGGACTCCAGAAACAACATAAAGCATTTGTCCCTTTGTGGGTAAAAGAATAAACTCAGGGGAACATAAGCTCTTTCTGTTGTTTTGTGGCTTCTTGGTGCAAATCGTTACTAAAATACTTCGTTAATTAAATGAGAGCTACCACACTGCTTTAGGTGGTCTGTGGTCCCTTTTGTTTTTTCAAGTTTCACAGAATCATGGGATTTCCTGCTGAAGCTTCCACAGCAGTTGGTGCTAAGCTGTTAAGTGGCTGTCACTGAGAGATTCCTACCTAAGCCTCTATCACTCCTCCTCCCCCTGGAGGGGACGCCTTCTCCTCTTGTCTGGAGTGCAAGTTTTTCACTGTCCGGATCATGGAAATCTGAAGAGATCTGATGGCAATGACAGTAACAGGAGATGGGCTAAGATCTGAATTCTATGAGAGTGAAGATGTACTATTTCTTGGATTATTAAATGTAGGTTGTGAGAAAAAAGAGAGCAAAGTGATTCTAAGATTATGTGTTGGGTTGAACAGCTAGAAAAATGGGTGAAATGATGGAGACTGAGGGAGGAACAGCGATGACCAGGTCAGGGTTGGTGCTGGATGCACTTTTCAGTATTCAGGTGCTGACCTCTTGTAGGCAGCTGAGTAGGTGAATGTGGAGGTCAGAGTCCAGGTATCACCTACAGCTGTGCCTCCACATTGGTTACATCAAGCTTTAAGTTGGAGGTACTTTAACATGGAGTAGACAGGAGATCAGGAGGCTCCAGCAAAAGAAACTAGGAACAAACGTGAACGAAGTTGGAATAAAACAGAATGAGGTTCTGGTGGCAGCAAAAAAGAAAGGAGGTGATCCACTACATCTAATCCTAGTGATTGGTTGGAAATGACAAGGACAATTAATTATTAGGTGTGCCAAGGTACCCTTGAAAGAACAGTTTCAAAGATGGGATGGGTATGGGGGAAACATCTGAGAAAGAACAGGGGACAAAGGAACCATGGAGACAGTAAAAACCCTAGGGAAGAGTGTGTGTGTGTGTGTGTGTCTCTGTGTCTCTGTGTGTGTCTGTGTTTTACACAGGGAAGCAAAAATAGGACATGAGCTAGAGGGATATATAGAATTAAGATCACATTTTGCTTTGGACAAGAACTATAACAGCATGATTGGATGCTAACGCGATGATCATTAAACAGGGAAATTCAGTAAAGCTTGGGAGGTGGGGACAGTTACAGTAGAGCTACTGTAAAGTAAAATGGCATGTGGCACATGGCCAAGGCATGGTTTTAGGAGCCAGGAGGGAGCACCCCATGTTAAGCGGGGGAGTAGGAGTCCTTGGAGACTGATGTGGAGGCAGGTTCAGTGAGGGGCTATTGTGTAAGTCTCTTCTTGTTGGTACCCTGCATGGTTTCTTAGGGTTGACTGGAGTGAGCAGGTCTGGGGAAGCTCGATGGCTTGATTGTGTTTAATAGTGGGGACACCTCTGTCTTCAGTCTAATTTTTATCTTCATACATCTTTACTCTGGACCCCATATTTTAAAATGTTTGTGGTGAAACTATAGCTAGGACTGGCTTAGGCTTCAAACTCTGAAAGTAGAATATACAATGTGTGCCCATGGAGAACTCGTTAAACAATTCTTCACTCACCACCTGGGAGCTCAAAAGGCAAGGACTAATATTCTCTTGCATTTCCTTTGCATGTGTAATGAATATGTATTTCCCTATATAGTAGAAATCAAGATGTAGTTTGAATGGGGGGATGTGTGGCTATAGAAATTGGAGATAGGCCAGGGATTTAGCTCAGCGGCATAAGTGCCTGCCAGATAAGCGCAAGATCGTGAGTTCAATCCCCTGTACCAAAAAAGAAAAGAAAAAAGAAATTGGAGATAAGCACTTGCTTTCCCTATAATATTTGCATTTACATTTGTCTCCATCGCTTGAATTTGTAACATGACGGTACTGTAGTGGAATGCCATCCCCCCTCACAGCCCTTAGCTCATGGTAATTCATATATTTCACCCACATTTTTATTGTCACACATCTAAATGGGATGCAGTGCCTTATTTTCTTTCCTACACAACTTCTGCATTTCTGGTGAATAACAACAACCAAAAAAAAAAAAAAAAAAAAAAAACCGCAGCCCTAAGTGCTATGTTTGAGGCACTGCTTTGATTCAAAGAGAAATTAAGATAGAATGAAATTACTTCTGACTGTGAAACAACTTTCACAATTCTTCACATTGAAGACGCGAGTGTGCCATTAATACCACATGAAGACATTAACAGGAACAATATAGGAATACCAAATATGGGAAGCGTAACATTGATTCAGAATGTGTGAACGTTGTCAAACATGTGATTCCAAGAATGGCTGTTCAGTTTAGCTGTAAAACTTAGAAAAAATGAAGACTAGAGAAATCCTCAAAAGTAAAAGACGCCTAAGAAAGATGGTGAAAATATTTCCATTGACAACGGATGAGAACTGACATTTGTCCATTTTAATAGTACTCCAGTGGTGGTCTGATTTTGTTTTGGATGAGGTGTGGGGAAACATAGATAATAACATTTTGTTTGTTTCTGGGAGGCACCAAGATTTGTCATTATAAAAGGACACCCACGCCATGAAATCTTAAGAGTTAGTTATACTATTTCCAGAGACATTTAAACTAATAGCAAAGTGGAAACCATTTGGTAGAACCCTAAGGAGTAGCCTAGTCCAGTGGTGGCCCTTGAACAGATGCCACTTACCCCACTTTAATTGAGGTAAGATTCCCACCAGACAGTGATAGAGCCAGGGGTTCCTATTTTTAACTAGCAGTAGGCTTTGCCTCTTGGGCACGAATGCCCAGTTCTGGTGGTAAAGAATTTTCCGCAAGATGCAGAGTGGGAGGAAACCAGTTATTTATATTCATGCTTTGAGCTTGAAAGAAAAACAAGAATAGTAAAGAAGGTATCAATGACAAGATGTTTCCTCGCATCAAAATCAAGGTGATGTATGACATCGCTTAGGCACACTTTTGTTGGAGGTTTTATTTAGGATCATTCCCTAGTCACATGTGTGGTCTTGCACACATTTACCCTACCTTTTTTTTCCTTAAGAGAACAGGCAGCCTCTTCATAGTTGCTAGAGAAATGTTTTGAGATAACACAGAGGAAAGGCCCGGTGGAGTGTATTGATGAGCAGGGAGTGCCCAGGACAAGCTTGCTTTTCTATCCCGAGTCAGACTCCATAGAATCAGATTTATACTGAGTTCTTGGCTTGCTAGGTTAAATCTGTTCCTGTACATATATCACTGATTTGTGATTCCGACTGTATTTCTTTTTTCCTTACCTATCCAGCTTAGGACACAGCTAATAGATACATTCTCTTTAGGAAAATTCTCTTTTGGAATTTTATTAGAAACCCATTTGACTTCTAGAGTTGATGAGAGGCAGCTCTGCCTGGGGTATCTTGGGGTTTTTGGAGTGCATCTCCTGGGCTCAGAGTGTATGAATTGTGACCCAGGATAGATCATAAAAATGGATATGATAGACTGAGTGGCACCCATTATGCATGAGATGCCATTGTGTGTGAGGATCATCCTAGGTTTTCCAATTTAAATTAAGACCCAGCCATGTACAGCAATACAACCATCTTCCATTTTTATGCAAAAGGTGTGTGTGATCTAGAGTTGAGGATTGCTTGCTTATAGCAAATAATTACTACCTGCTCTTTAACTTCATTCTAAACCGCAATTTTGATCCTTTAATGTATGTGTTTCAAAGTATCATGGGAAAACTTGCAATCATCATTAAACATACTTGGGGACAATGAATTGCACTGATAAGATAAAAATGATGTGCAAGAATCTGTAAAATGTTTAGCAAGGTTTCGGGAATTCCAGGGCCCGACTTAGAACTTGATCTCTGATCTTTATCTCATGTCATCCAGATTCTGATGCAAGGCAAAAATCCAGGGATAGCTTGGAAGTATGCACTTCCCAAGGCCATAAATGGAACTCAACAGGCTGCCAAGAGAACGCAGCACACCTGGAGTACGGTGCAGTCAGCCTGCTCCGTCTCCTGCGGAGGAGGTAAGTGCTGCCCTGATCCCATCTTCCAAGACTGTCTCTTCTGAAAACAGGTTCTTTCACTCTACGCAGGTTTAACATTGTACGGCATAAATAAACCACCAAAGACCTATCTTTCAGGGGAACCATCACTATGAAAAGCAATTATCATACAGTTCAGGGATTTTCCTGTGCAGCCAGAAACCAGTTCTCACAAAGCTCAAGTCCACCACAACCAAAGCACAGTAGTGGCACATCTCCGGAGGCTGAGCCTGGAGGATAACAAATTTGAGGCTAGCTTGGGCAACTTAGCAAGACCCTGTCTGAAAATCAAAGCTATAAATGGGCTAGGGCTGTAGCTCAGGTTCAATCCCTAGTATCCCCAAAGCCAGAAACGTTGTATATCTGAAACTTCAACAAGCCGTATTTACTTATAAACTTATAAATATAGTTATGTCTCTCTAAATACCCATACAATTTTCAGATTATGGTTCAGTTTCCCCTACTGACTTTACGTTGTGATGAAATTTCCACTGGGGCTTTAGGAGGCAGAAGGAAGATAAGTGAACACACCCATCAGGAAGATGTCTCTGAACCATGGGGACTGTATCATCCTGCAGCCCTCTCCTTGGGGGAAGTCAGCAAACCTCTCAGCAGGGAGATGGGTTAAATGTGAAACCAACAACTCCCAGTTAGTAAGCAGGGAAAAGGCATTTTACTCGGGTATCTGAAATGTCACACATTTTCAGATAAGTCAGTCATCACTTATGCCCTTTGCAGGGGAAAAATGAAATTTCATTTATCAGTCATGAAACCAAAGCATGAAGAGGGTTGGTGGCCCATTTTCTATTAGTGTAAGGACAGTGAGTCTTCCTACAGGGCTCATCCCATAAGGAGCACGATGCCTCTGAGAATGAGACTTTGGAGATAAAATTCTTCTGCCTGTGAAGTCTCCACTTCACATGCTACCTAACAAAGTATGAGGAAATACTTCCCAAACATGCACATTAAATTACTAAAAGGTGATGCATTTTATTAATAGTTAAAGCCAACATGCTCTCAAGGAGAAAAGTAATCCCTATTCTAATTCCTCAGTCAGCCACAGCCAACATTAATACTTTGGTCTATATTGTTCTCTTTTCTCCTGTGTATATACAAATGCGCGTGTCTGATAGTCTCAGGTACATACCATAAATCATTCTGTACTATCGTGTTGATCAGCTGTCATGATAAAGACATATCTTGACACTTGCTCTGTTCTGCTTGGTCTCAGATTGCGAGCAGTTTGTCATATATCTCAAATGTTCTTGGAGAACATTTTCCTTGTCGTCTTAGTATTCCAGGAAGGGCACAGTGCCTTGGGAAAAAGAGAAATTTGATTCATTTTCCATTCAAAGGAGTAAATCCAGGGAGGTGAGGCCAGAGGAGTGTGTTGTGGAGTTCTACCCCTGCCACGATGTAGCAACTCGTTCATGTGATTCATAGACCCTGGTGTGGCCCAGGAATATAAGCAGGTCCAGATGAGTAAGCTCTCTTGAAATGCACCACTAACTCTGGAGAATTCCAGCATGGCTTTGATCTGCGCCCCCCAAAGCCAAACTGCTTCAACCTCAGGAGTAGGACCGACTGCTAATCCTCATAGCTGGAGTGACCTTTTATCATTGCTCAGACTCCATTTTAAGGAAAAGAACCCTGTAAGTGGGTCACAGGAGAGGCAGCTTTTCTGACTTTAAAAGCTAAAATATAAAATTGTCCACACACACAAATGAATGCCTCTGAGGGAAGTTCTGAAATAAACACCAAAACAAAGCAGAGAGATGCCAGTAATACAACACAGCCCTAAATGAGAGGATGAACACGTACACAGAGGTCAGCCTCTTGCGTGCAAGCATATCATACTTTTGTGCACGTATAAAATGATCCATGGCAAAGTAGAGCTTTAGGCTTTCACACCCCATTCACTGGGGTTTTTCTATGAGAAACATTTTCCATTAGACGTGTGCAAAATGAGCTCAAGCTTGCTCGGGTATTTCCCTTTATAGTTGTTCTGGTTTCAAAAAGTGGTATTTATCACTTTATGGCAATAGACTCTACCTTGGTCTTGAAAATTAAGAATCTGCATTAGTAATTATTAAATAAATTAGTAAGGTATAAAGTCTGTTATCTTGGGGATAAATGGAATTCAGATTAGTTGTAGCTGTATCAAAAGGAAGTATTTTCAGCTAGGTGTGGTGGTACAAGCCTGAAGAACACAAGTTCAAACTCACCTAGGCAATTTAGAGACCCAGTGAGACGCCTGCTTCAAAATAAAAGTTAAAAAAACCCAGGGATATAACTCAGTGGATAAGACCTAGGCTTAATCCCTAGTACTGGGGATAAATGTTCTTTATGAAAAGTATTTGTATTTCATATCTTAGAGTATAAGAACATTGGCAGCTCTGAAGCTAAACTTGGAAACCAAATTCAGTTGTTTACTGTAATTTTCACTTTTAACTTCTGATGCTTTACTAGGTTACATAAGCATAAAAGCCATTTGCTTACGAGACCAAAATACTCAAGTCAATTCTTCATTCTGCAATCTAAGAACCAAGCCAGCAACTGAACCCAAAATATGCAATGCTTTCTCCTGCCCAGCCTAGTAAGTCATCTGGAAATGTCTTTTTGTTTATATTGGTGTTCAATGCCTTTATTGTTGGTATAAGATAATGAAAGGCCTACTGTCAGTATTTCTGGTTGAAAGTGATTTAAAAGTAGATGCAGTGCCTAAAAGAAAAGTAGAAAGAAGGAGGAGGAGGAGGAGGAGGAGATTGGAGAATGTGAACTAAAGAATATGAATTTGCATTAGACACTTACTTGACTTTCTTACCATGCAAATGTGGGATGCAAAAGCATCTTCTATTTTTTTTGTTTTGAATACATACTTCTCAGAACTGAACCAAACAGATATTTAAATAATACACAATACTATATTAGTTAAATTTACATGTGGCTGTATGTTTGGCTTTTATAGAAGTTGTCCAAGAACATAAAAATCATAATAGTATGTAGACCATGAAACCCCAGTGCAAATTATACAGTAGCAAGACACAAAATAAAAAGAGATATAAGCCAAATGGCAATTCCCCTGCTGGTAGTGGTCTTAGGGGAGCTCAGTGGGTTTGTTCTTAGATTCATTTTAGCCACACCATTGTTGGACACTAACTTTAATCTCCCAGCCAACTGGAGGCTCTTCTTATGTGATTTATCTTCTGCCAAATGTATTTATATAAACGGGCAGAGTTGCTTTTAAAGCAGGGGTGCATTCACCAATGTTTCAGATCATGTTAATAAGTAGTGCTTGGTTTGTGGTGATGCAATCAGGTTACAAAATCTTTAAATACACAAAAACATTTTTCTTGTAACTAATAGTGTATCTGTCATAATCATTTGGGATTTCAGCTACCCACCAATCCCATATGTGCAATTGTCAACTCAGTTTTTCTTTTAAGACCTGGAACCAGTTTTTATTATGAACACAAAAAGAAGAAAGAAATGGTGGTGAGGGGGCAGAGTTCTATGGGTTCTTTTTCCTTTTTTGCTAAGAAATATATGGATCTCAGAACTATTCCAGGGCTCTAAGGTATAATTTTCAAAAGTGTGCTTGACCTTGTAATGTCCTCATAGGTGGTAGTGGTGATCCTGTGTGTGTGTGTGTGTGTGTGTAGGGAAGGTTGATGTACTTGATTGAAAAGCTGATAATTTCTGATAAGCCTGCTTCCTGTCATTGGTTATTCCAGCCAACCACAGACAGGGACCTCATTTACATATACATCCATGAAAGGATCCACTAGCCTCTTTTGCTGGATTCCAGCACTTAGCTGGAAGTGTTTCTGTTCACACAAGTACCTTTTCACTGTGTTATAGATTTCTTCCCAGAAAGAACACTGCTTCATTCATTTTTCCAAGCCCAGTACCTAGGAGACTCCATGACACTTTGTTTAGATCCCAGTAAATTCAATTGAATGCATTGCTCCAATATTAAAATGTCATGTGTTTCTTCCCATGCAGGAAGCAAGAATGTGTTTCCCAAAACTGCATGTGATTAAACACACACCGTAATTAAGCTGAGCATGTTTGCATTCATTTCAAAATCTATAAAAGGGCAATGGATAAAAGATCCGATTGCCTTTAGTGATTTTTTAAAATGGATCAAAGGGCTTTCATTAGGCAGTTCATCATTCGCAGTAACTGTTTTAGAAGTGATGGTGAAAAGTCTTGGCCTTACCGAGCAGTATTTTCTCTAAAAGTTGGATGCCTGGCGAATGGAGCACATGTAGCAAGTCATGCGCTGGGGGCCAGCAGAGCCGGAAGATCCAGTGTGTTCAGAAGAAGCCCTTCCAGGAGGTGGAGGCCGTGCTGCATTCTCTCTGTCCTGTGAGCACACCCACTCAGGTTCAGGTCTGCAACAGCCACGCCTGCCCCCCAGCATGGAGTCCTGGGCCCTGGTCCCAGGTAAGTGGGGCAGACATGAAGCCAGGGGTCTCACCTGCACTCCCATATAAGACAGGGGAGGTAAAATGCTCCCACTCTTTGTCTTCATAAGAATCGCATTACATTAACACAGAGCCGGGGGTCTCCCTTTACCTAGTGTTTGTTTTTTTTTTAAGTGATTCTTATGAGCCTGGAAGTCTGGGAACCCCGATCCCAGAGCTTAATCCAGAAGTTTAAGTGGGAGCCATTTGGGCAAAGCTAATGAGTACAGCTAGAAAGGGATTGGATGTAACCCTGGAACTGATTTCCCCAAAACAACTAGGATGCAAATATGAAGAATGAGAATAGAAGGGAAAAGTAATTCTTGCTACAACAAGAACAAAATAGCATTATATGGATACAGAGAGGAGCTGGGCATGGAGTTTGCTATTATCACAAACTTCCAATGAAAGTAGTAACATGATAAAATTGGAACAGGCATAGAACTCCCCGTTATTCACGACTTAGAAATTCCCTCTCGAGTAGTTCTCCCCTGGGCAGGTTTGCCTCTGAAAGGCTTTTGTTTTTTATTGTCACAGTGATACAAGACCTTCTGGTAATATAGTGGAACTAAATGTGACTCCCAACCTGCTAGGTACCCAATACTCCAAATTCACGTTCCCCCAAAACCAAAGAATGCTGAGGAACAACAGAGGTTAAGAGCAGGGAATTTTACTGAGAGACAACTGCTGCCTGAGGGCAACAGGAGGGGGGCCAGTAGAGTTAGTAGTGAGCCCACTTTACAGAAGCTTTGTAGAGCAAAATTTTGAGGTGCACACAATGTGGTTACACCTATGATCAATAAGATTATGAGGATAGCTGCTTAAGAACATTGATCTAGTGGGAAGCAGGTCACATACCAAGTGTGCATGGAAGAACAACTTTTCAAAAAGAGATGATGGGTCTTGGGGTCTTGGTCACCCACTGAGGTGATAAAAGTTTATCTAGACTTCATCGAACCAGGTGTTATCACATCTCTTGTGGGGAGGCAGCTAGGCCTGGTTATTCCTTCTTTATCTTGAGGCCTGGTCTCCAACAGGTGTGCCTCCAGCCACGGTTGTATTGTGTTTTCTTTTGTATTGATTCCCTCAAGGGCTCAGCCCTGTCTGCCTATAGTATTTCTACCTAATTCAGCTGTCTGTAATAACAGCATGGAGGGGGATGGGAGCTACTGGATCTGGCGTGTGCAGAGGCAAATGTCCTACAAAGCACAGGACAGCTGCCTGCAAGAAGGAATAAACGTCAGGGCTTTCCCACTACAGTACCTCCACATCTCACACCAATCTCTGCTGACCAGAAGTGGTCAGTTCCGAGGAGCCCAAAACTGCAGAAGCTTTGGCACCAGAACTGTGAAGCCAGGTAGCAGCCACGAGTCATCTGCCCTGCTTCTTTCAGAGTACATTATATCCTGGAGGATGCAGATTTCTTAGGGTCAGCCGTGCAGGGCAGCTGCCCCAGCAGAGGTCACAAGAGGGCTTGTATTGATGCTCTGACTATACCTGATATAGGTCAGGGCCAGGAGTATGAAAGAGCATCTTTGAGAATGCTCAGGATTTTATTTTATTTTTTTCCAAATAAGAATATATTCCCTTATAGCTAAGGGTAAGTCTGTTGTTGTCTTTTCTGTTTTGCTGTTGGGAATTATAAAGAGGTGATTTAAAGTATTATTTGAGCCAAATCTGTATGGTGGTCTTGAAGGAAAGAAAATGAAGACTGGCAGCTTTCAAACAAATCTTTAAAAAATTTTTCCATTCCAAAAGAAGAGCTGCCAACCTCCAATGAGAATTTTTTTCAAGAAGTAATCTTGGCTGTGCTTTAAGGGTGAGATGTGTAGCAGGTCATTTCCCAGGTCTGGCAGCCGTAACTCTGTTCCTTAGCTATGTACAGACTGGTCCTGGTGCCTGGGCGCTGATTCTCTGAGGAGGGAGATAGCGGAGATCTCTTAAGGGATGGAGGACTGTGTGCTACAACCTCCTATGGAAAGCCTCATGTGTGTCTTGTTGCTAGTATGTGCCAATCATCACCTCCCTTAAAAATGGGAAGACTGAATTCACACTGGTCCTCAGAGCTAGCTGAGAACCCTGCCCCAGCTGGCTGTGTGTTGATGGAAGCCACACAGGTCATGGCCCTTCTTGTAAATGCCAAGTTGGTGACACATCCCTTGAGAAACCCAAGCCTGGAGCTTGTCTTTTATATGACCTTGACAAGTTTGTAGCCAGTCCTCTGTAAGCGAGGAGAATCTTTGCTGCCTAATCCATTGCACGGAATTCTTCTAAAGCTCAGCAATATGAGAGTTGGAGAGTTAGTTGCCCACAGGGTACATTTGTGTTATGTAAATTTATTTACAAACATTTGACATGTCCTCTCCCGATAGTCAGTAGTTGCAGAGTGCCCAGAGAGAGCCATTGCTGGGTGTGAGAGCCTAAGTCCCTGAAACTGTTTCCAGAACTATCCAGCTAGCATTGTTCCTGCTATGCCTGTTCACACTCTGTAGGGACACACATTCCTGCTCTCATTGTCCCTGCTGGAGATGAGCACCATCCTCATTAGCCCTGACCCACACTGCTTTTCCCATGCATAGGCCAAGTCCCATTTTCCTAATTGCTCCCATGTGTGCTTGTCATGCGTGCAGCCCTCTGCCTCATGACTTCTCCAGTGCATCCTCAGACTGAGGGTGACACTGTGACCACCAGGCATAGAAGAGGGTAAAGGCTTATCATGACAGGTTGCACGCAGTCTTTCCTGGGCCCCTAGGTAGACCTCTTCTCCTTCAGAGAACTTCTTTGGGAATGTTGTTCAATATTTTAAAAGAACTGAAAATATCTCATCAGTACATTTTCAGCAGTCATCTGAAACAGCATGCAAATAGCATTTCTTCTCCTCTGCAAGTGTTCCAAGACCTGTGGACGTGGAGTGAGGCGGCGTGAGGTTGTGTGCAAGAGTTCTGCCACAGAGATCCTCCCTGAGAGCTGGTGCAGCAGCAGCCCCAGACCTGAGACACAGGAGGGCTGTGTGCTGGGACGGTGCCCTAAGAACAACCGGCTACAGTGGATTACTTCTTCATGGAGTGAGGTAAGAGTTAAGTTTTGTTTTGTTTTCTCAGATCAACTCCCACCAGCCAGGTACCACCAACCAGCTTCCTTTCCTGTTGCGCACAAATACCAGGGTCTTTCTCGTGGCTGGTTCTTTACCTCTGATTTGTTCAGCAGACAAGTCTGTGCCTTGGTTATAAGACTTCAGAAAGCACGTATAGAGAAATGTTTCGGCATGCAAAATGTGGGCAAAGTTGGTGATCTTCTGGGAAAGTCCAGAGTGCTTTAGAGTCATATTTGAGGAAAGATGCTCATTAGGAGAGACTCCAGGGAGCAGGAGCCCATCTAGGAGGCTGGGGGAAGGTTGTTCCTTACACAGGGTGCAAACTTACATGAGGAAAAGGTGGTGGGGGAAACTTCTGGAAACAGACTGTAAGGTGGCAGGTGATAGGCTAGAAATACCCTATACGCTTGGAGGAGCCACCTGAAATTTTAAAGGAAGCATGGAACAATCACGAGCAGGGGAAAGAAGGGCAAAGCATTCAAACCCCAGGCAGGGAAGGACTTTGGGTAGATGTGGCCACAGCGATGCTTGGAGAGAAGATAGGTCTCTGAGTCCCTGGATTTTGTTCTTTCAGGCATCTGTCAGGGAGCAGGGAGGGATGATGTCTTCTAGTTCCAGGCTTGGGAAACTTCTTTGCATTTACAGACATAAGAAAAAGGACCTAAATCAGTATATCATGGTGCCCCGAGAGGTCTCTGCTCTCCCAGTGTTTACAGTCTGGTACAGAACACAGGCACCAAGAAAGGGAAAAATATCAATAATGGGATGATGAGGTCCAGGAAACAGGGCTTCTCTCCCTCCCCCACTGGCTCCATTCAGAAACTGCCTTTTTACTCATGATGTGCGTAGGTCCACATCATGAATGTGATCTAGCAACGTGCTCCTCTGTCTCACCCATTTTCTTTAAAAGACGTTCTAAGCTAATGACTAAATCTATGTGTTTGGACAGACCTGGTGTGGAATCCAGCCCAGCTTGGCTTTCCTCACCTTCACCATGCACCAGTTCTCACGCCCCCCTTGGAGAGCTGAAACTCACGATCACTATTGACATCGTGTAGCATATTTACAACAATACCAATTTTCTAGATTGACTGTCTTCCTCAATTCTCCTTACATTCTCCTATAATTTTGTTTAAAATACTTTTTTAAAAGACACGTTTTCTCAGTTATTTCATTAGCCTCCTGTCCTCCTTTGCCAGCCACAATGCAGCAGTAGATGATTTTTGTCTGTGTGCATCTTTCGGCAGAGATAGATCTGTTAAATTGTGATTGTTGCTACTCAGCTGTCAGTAAGCATTTTCTGCCCTTGGCTCAAATTCCTCCCACCTCAGAGAGGCTTCGGGGTGGCCCTGGATATCTGAATCCCAAGCTGTATCCTTTCTCCTGACCCTTCCTGGTTTTGTGACTTTGGGAAAAGTCTCCGCGCTTTCCCAGGCCTACCACAGTGTGACAGAAGTGGCAGCAGGACCTTCAGCAGAGTTGACCTTGTTGTTGGGGACGCTTACACCTCCGTTCTTGGCTTGCAGTGTTCTGCAACCTGTGGCTTGGGTATGAGGAGGAGAGAAATGAAATGCAGTGAGAAGACCTTCGAGGGAAAGCTCATCACTTTCCCAGAGCGGAGATGCCGCAATATTAAGAAACCCAACCTGAACTTGGAGGAAACGTGCAACCACAGGGCTTGTCCTGTGTACGATGTGGCAGCGGGATGGTACACGTCCCCATGGCAACAGGTAGGTGCATGCAGATTTAGGAGGTTGATATTCAAGTGAGATGCAGAAAATAAATGGGGAGCCCACCAAGGATTGCTCTTGGTGCTTGGACAGTTGTGTAAATTTAAAGAGCTTGTGTTCTTTGGCCACTCCATCAGCTGTTGTGTACACCTTAGTTTTCCCAGCTGGAAATTTGAAACAGTAATGTTACACAGCATTGGGAGTTTTTTTCATACGCAAGTGAGGTAATGGCTATAAAGCACTTAGCACCAAAACTGTCAGGTTCTGCTAATGTTGCTGCTGCTCCTAAAAGCATTTTCGAAATGCTGCTCAAAATCTCTGCTCATTCGGTCCTTAATCATGGTCCTGAACAATACTGTAACACTAACATTTCCAAACCATTTCTATGTACTCTGGTATTATGCATACATTTTCTCATTTAATTCTTGAAATAACCCTCTCAGTATGTAGAGCTGTGCCTATTTTGGGGCTAAGACAGGTCAGAATGTTAGGCAATTCAAGCCAAAAGCACCAATGTTGCGGCTCATTGGATGTTTGAGAAAACCTGAATGGAACTTTGGTTCCTATGGATTAGGATTGGTGTATGCCCCCAAGTTGGAGGAACAGCTTGTCCTATCTTGTGGCTGTCCTTGTGACATTCCTACCAACGTGTGATGCATAGCTCTTCAAGCACTGAATGAGGAAAGCGGCCAAGAGAATCAGCGTGATTGAATACTTCCAATTGGCTAGGCGCTGCACATATGGTTACAGGTTTCAAGTTTCTATAATGCTGCTCGTGTAACACATTTGGCAATTAGTTCTTACAAGGAATTAGAGCCATGGTCAGCAAACAATTGCCAGGAAGCCAGATCAGCGCTCCACCTCCTGTTTTTGTCCATACGCTTTTCTGGCAGTGTGGCCATGCTTGTCCACTTTAATGCTAGCTACAGCTGCAACAAGGCAGCCTTGAGTCGATGCGAGAGATCAGGTGCCCCTAAAGTCAAGCGTTCACTAGCTCACCCATTACAGATGATGATCTGAGGACAATCATGCAGTGATCCTTAAATGTTGGGCTGATTCCAAAATTCATACTCTTTCCACCCCAAGTTACTTTTTCTTCCTCCTATATACATAGCAAACCGGATAATGGAGCTGCTTCAAAAATAAAAACATGCTAAATTTTTAAGGCAAATTCATTTGAAAAGCTGCATATTCCCTGATACTTTTCTTTTTTCTAGGTAGACATGTGAAATGTTTACTGTCTTTGGAATTTTTTTCCACCCCTGGACATTGAAATCATTGATTTTTAGTGATTTAGTGACCCACTCCCCTATGCCAATTCAAAATTTGGCATGGGCACCAAAGGCACAATTCCAGTGTCTCAGATTATCATTCCTTTTAAAGCAATCCCCAGCCACCATCACATCTGCAGAGATTATCTGGAATTCTTTAAATAGCAAGCTCTGGGGCTGGGGATTTAGCTCAGCGGCATAAAGCGTCTGCCTTGCAAGCAGGCAGTCGTGAGTTCGATCCCTGGTACCAATAAAAACAAAAAAGACAAAAAAATAATAATAATAAATACATAAATAGCAAGCTCCGTTCCCTACATGTGTCTGCATTGGCTTCTGCCTTCTTGGGCTGCTTCTGGATCCTCTCCTCTTTATGAATCACTGAACAGGTGACCTGCTCTCAGGCTCCATAGCATTGGCCTAAGACATTTCTAATCAGATCAAAAGGCTCACATGGGTTACAATGACTGACAAGCCTGTGCCTGCCTCCAGACAATCTGCTGCAATGGCAGACACCTTGGTAATGTCAAAGTAAGCCTGTTATTTGGTGTCGCTCACCTCAGGAAGGACGTCATCCCGCAGCGCATCCTGAACTCTTTTCTCTCTCTGCAGTGCACGGTGACCTGCGGGGGAGGTGTGCAGACCCGCTCAGTCCACTGTGTGCAGCAGGGCCGCCCCTCCTCCAGCTGCCTGCACCGCCAGAAGCCCCCAGTGCTCCGCGCCTGTAACACCAACTTCTGTCCAGCTCTGGAAAAGAGAGGTAAGGGCCCCAGGCCCAAGTCAGCTTCACTGCTCCTCAGGGGATGAGTCTACAGGAAGATGCTCCCTAGATTTGTTCAAGGAAGAACTTGGGAGGCAGTTACCGTCAAAAGCGATCAGGTTTGCAAGGGTCTGAAAGGAACGTTTAATTTTAGAAACGCAGCCATTTGTTCTTTGAAAGTGAGAAAAGGTCTTCTTTGCAAATCCTTTTTTTTATTAGATACTTTGTTAAATCTGAAAAGAGTAGTGACCTTGTGACAGTTTATGCAGACTGGTGGAAATAGTGAACAATAGCTGCCATCAAAGAGCTGACACTTCAGGGTACAGTCAGTTATAACAAATATATATTGGACTGGGAGACACTCTGCATTTTAAAATCAATTGACACTTCACTGAATTTCCTGTGTCAGAATAAACTGTACTGCACTATACTAGTCCAACTCATTTTTGAGTAACTCAGCAAAGACTAGGAAATAGCACAGCTTTTCCAAGGCTGTGCAGTATCTCACCCTGCTTCTTCTAGTTTGTGGTGACTCTGATCCACGTCTGTTACTCAGAGGCTCTGCGCTGTCTGCATCTCTTCCCATCCCTCCATTGTTGATTTTCTTTCTCAGCTTTAGGGTCGAGGCATCAATTTTCCCTCTTTCTCTTTATGTTGTCTGAGGATGGCAAAGAGGAATACATGGGATATAGCAATTGCTGAAAGCTAGATCTTCTCTAGACACTGCAGGAATTCTATGAGGAAGACATGTATGTCTTTGAGCAGAAGGGCACTTTCACCCTCTCCCCCATCTCTTTTCATCAGTCACTTCTCACTTCCATCCTGCACTGAGGAACTTAGACTATCCATGGACAAAGGCTCAGCCTGGAAGAAATCAGGGAGAACAGAGGCCAACCATGGGAGCTTCTCCTGGGAAGGAGTGTAACTGGAAAGAGAGGAGGTACATGTGAGGGCCAAGATGCTAGGCAAGCCACCAGTCCTGGGTCCACTCAGTGTCTAATATGTCACAAGTCTTCAGTGGGTGTTCTGAGTTTAATGGATACATGCACAAAAGTGTGATAAATGGTGTGTAAAATCCTGTGGGATCCTTTGCTTCAGTCAATAGCATCTCATATACACCCCCAGGGGATGCTCTTAGAGATCAAAAATGCAGCCCAGAAGAACGAAGATAGACCACCATGCATAAGTGGTGGGGTATTAGCAGTGTGGCCCTAGAGGTCAGCTCTACCTGTGTTGCAGGAATGGAGGTGATTCACAGGGAGAACATGGCAATGTGCCTTTCAGAAAATAAGGTCTCCATGAGAAAGGTAGAGAAAGAAGACACATATTAGCCAAAGGTGCAACATGTAGTTTACTGAAGGTGGGGAATATTTTTCCCCTATTCCTATCCCAAGGATAGGGAGAATCACATGCCTAAACTATCACTCGGCAGATGAGACCACTTTTGTTACAGTGCATTTGGTGCTTTTACTAACCAGCAGTGAGCACAGATTCAGTTCTTTCAATCATCTCTGATACCCAGCCCCCAGAGGATTATAGTCAGATGGAAGTTTCCAGCCATTACAGCAACTCAAATTGGACACTGGGAAGACCTTCCCACCAGGGTTGGCACCATCTCATCATCCCAATTTCTAACCAAGCAGTTTTCCATCCTCCAGGACCCCTCCTGTGCAGAGAGACAGTCAGGGGCCTTCATCCTGTACTGTCATCACTGTGGAATGGGACCTGGAGGTCTTGATAGGATCTCCACATGGGGCCACCATCCCTAGACTTTGCTTTATACATATTTATGCGAAACCACTCAGCCTTGTCTGCCACAGTGCGTTATATCTAGCCATTTGTGTCTTCCGTAATGAATCTTGGCTGCAGAGGAGCGAGATCAAATAAGGGCAATAGTCAAGGAACGCCACATCTTGGGTTGGGCAGCAGCTTATGGCCAAAGGAAAAAGCACTCTGAAATCATGAAAATAGATTTGAATTTATATCCTGGTACTAACTAGCCATGCAACATTGGTCAAATTTTTATAAAATGAAAATAATAGTTACCTTGAAAGATTATTATAATTCAGTTTCTCTTACTTAGCACCTTCATAACAAATACTTTTGGTGTTTCTAGATGGAAATAGACAACAAGGCAACTAATTAACATTAGCAGATGATAAAGCAGCAGGAAATAAAACAGTGTTCAGAAAGAATGACTGGGGAGAGGGAGGTGGGAAAACTACGGATAATGATAATACAGTAAGAGAGGAAGGTGCACGGGGTGTATACCTGAAGGGCAGGAATATACAACGCGAAGAAATAGTGATATGCTTGAAATACACTGAACAAGGTGATCTGTGGATGGAGAGGTTCAGACTTAAGCCTGCATAGGATGGAAGCCAATGGGGTACATGGTGCTGTAGGATCTGGCTTGGGGGAAGGTCATTGGTAGTTATATCACTATGAGTTCAGGCTGCCTGCAGCAAAAGGAGAATTTGTCTGCCCTTTAGCAGACTGCAGGATCCTAGTGACAGATGGAGAGGGTGCCACTAGCAGGGATGATTAGAAACTGGGTGAACTTTGAAGACTGAACCAATGATATTGTAGCTAGTGCATGTTTGCATGTAAGATATGAGATAAAGAAGGACTCGATGGTCCTCCCACCCAGTATACACTGGATGCATAGCAGGCACATAATTAGCTGTTAGTATTTAAACTATCTACCTCAATGACATCCTGCTACACCTTGCTTCTGCTTTCTGGCTTACATGAGCAGCCAGGTACCTGCAAAAACCCCTCTCTTATCTCAAGAGGGGTGAGTATTGATTAAAACAGTGAAGCTGACACATGGTTGGAGTTTACTTTCCTCTACTTCCATTTTGTCAGTAAAATAATCTCTGCACTCTCAAAGAAACTTAGGTGCCTCTAATTGATTAAGGTATCAGACACTGCACCAATACAGCTTAGCCGGATCTTTTTCCTGGTGTCTAAATTGTGTCTACAGCTTAGCCGGATCTTTTTCCTGGTGTCTAAATTGTGTCTGTAGCTCCTCCTGGCGCCCGTCCCACCCCCATAAGAATGCGCATTTCAGAGAATGTGACTGTTATTTCAGATACTCAAAACTCTTACAACTTTTAGGATTTCCCTGCTTTCTGATATCCTTTACTAAACCTGCCAGCAAATTCTCTAAATTCTACCTTTCAGTCATATCCAGGAGTGACTGGAAACAGAATAACAACTCCACTTCATCATTATACCCACGTTGAGATTTGGCATGGTTTGAATTGGTTATCGTAGCCATAATAGGTACAAGCAATTTAATTTATTGAGAAACTATGTCATCACGAACACGAGTTGGGGCTGTGCAGGGAGGGTTGGTTTGTTTCACAGTCAGAAGCAATTTAAGACTGGGGCAGAAATGGAAGAAAATTCCAGTTATCAATGAGAATGTTTAACAGATATCCTAAGTATTTTCAAAGTGAAAAATTCACTTTAAATATATGGGATAATTATGGGCCCCTCGCCTATAAAGATACATTTATGTTGATATGAAGGAAAGTTTATACCTGCAATTGCACACGGGTTCCTCTCCCAGGGCTCTGCTGAGACTCCCAGATACACACTGCTTTGCTTCTGATGGATCTTCAGAGCTCGTTTTCTTTAAATAGCTAATGAAATTAGAAAGGAAAGATATAAAGGCACCTTTTCTGCAGACTGATTAGGAGATGGTTGTAGCTGCCTCCTGTCCAAGTGATTTCTAGTATATTAGTCTCCCAGCTCGCCATTGACCAGCAGTAATTTTCAGAAATGCAGATCTGCAGCCCTCACTGGAGATCTGACTGTGAAGCTGAGGTTCTGAATGTGGACCAGGGGAGCTCTAAACTGCTCTTCTAGGGTGCTGCCCTCCACCACTCAAGTCTATGGTGGCTTGCAGGGTACCATTGCTCCCTTACTGAATGTGACTTAACATCTAATTTTTTTCCCTAGATTTTGCTGATGGTCACAGTCCCTTTTGGTATCTTAATCTTACACCTGTCTTATTCCAACATACAGAAGACCCAAAGCATTTGTCTTAAGATGCAGGGCCAGGGATTTAGCAAAAAGAGGCAAGTCTATGACAGACAGGTGGGGGAGCCCTGGCTGACACACTAAGCTAACTGTATTGTCTCATTTTAGAGGATCCATCCTGCGTAGATTTCTTCAGCTGGTGCCACCTGGTTCCTCAGCACGGTGTCTGCAATCACAAATTTTACGGGAAACAGTGCTGCAAGTCCTGCACGAGGAAGAACTGAACTTGGTGACACCCCAGTAGTCCAGGGTCAGGGTTCTATCTTTGAGCCTCCAGAGAGACCAGACCCCTTTGATCCTAGGCTGAGCACCGTGACCCTTTGTGAGGTGCTACAGGGTCTGCGGTGCACACAGGCTGATGCCAGGCTCCCTAATGGCACCTGGAGCACGAGGTACTCTGAAGCACTTGAATAGAAGCAGCGACAAATCTGACTTAGAAATAATAAGAGGAAACTTCAATTTGCACTGTTACACAGAAGTGAGATGTCCCACTGAGCTACATTGATTTGTAATTTGACGAATTGAGACCAGCCCCTTGCCCATTCTTGGAACGTCAAAGGATTCAGTGGCAAAGACATCTAGACATGGTTTTTTTTTTTAAAGGTCCTTTAAAACTTGGGGTCTTGTGAACTATAGATGGAACACCAGTCAGAGGTTGCTTTTGCTTGGAGTTTACAGTTTGACCGAAACTGTGAACACCCAAATCAGGACTTACAGCAGAAGATACATGGTGCTCACAATTGTGCTTGCTGCTGGACTGGCAAGCTCTCTGTTATGTTTATTTAGAGAGAGAGAGTGTGTGTGTGTGTGCGCGCATGTGTGTGTGTTATCGTTGTTGATGATGAAAATATATTCTGCTTACAGAGCGTCTCCAAGACTAAAGTTAACAATTTGAAAAGCATTCCAAGGAATATGTTAAAGAAAACTACGGATTATTTAAGATCATCATGTAACTGAAATTCACACTGGGTGGGGGGAATTTCATAAAAGATGCATATTGATGGCCTTCATATGATACCAATCTCATCACTTTTGGTGCTTTGCTGAATCACATGGAGGCAGCCTGGTGCCTGCTGTTAGAAATGAGAATTGGTGATTTATTCATTTCTGGTAAAAACCTAGGAAGAACTAAGTGGCAAAATAACCATATGGAGGAGAGAAAACCATCATTTCTCATGGCCCCTACGGATTACCATCCTTCTGGGAAATTAAAGCCTGTTTGTGGCTTTTTCCTACCAACAGTTAAGTTTAAATTTGCCCTAGGATTTAGTTAAGGAAAAAAAAAAGTGAAGAGAAAAATCCATCTATCTTTCCACTACATTAATAATAATAAATTACAATATACCATGACCCTTCAGTGAATAGGAGTATTTTACAGTGTTTCAAATGATATTTTCAGTCATCAGCCAACTGCTGATAGGTATTAATGAGCTAAAAAAAAAAAGTCCTCAATTGAAAAAACACCACAGTATTTTACCAAAACCAAAGTATGTTACAAGGCAGTCCTGTAAGTTTTTGAGCAGTGGTTTATAAAGGGTGTATTTGTAAAATGCTACTCTATTCCTCAACTTGTTTGATGACTGTAACCCAATTTTACTGCTTTAAAATATCTCAATTCAGACAGAGCTCAGCCATCTCAGCAGAACCAACCAGACAGTGGTTTGTTAAATTTAGCAGCGTCTAAATTTAGCTGCATCCTTTGTCCCCATGGTAACTAAAACCACAAATTCTTGAATCTCACAAAAATAATGATTAGCAGCTTTTCTCAACCTAGCCATGTTTATCGTGAGGAAAAAAAATGGTTTCCCAGCACCACATCCTTGCCCTCTGAAAAATGGCAAGTTATTTGTGTCTTTATATAATTATCATTTTATTTTATGGAAAAGTTAATTTATTAATAGCCTATTATGTGTTCTCACTTGCTTCTCTGAGTAAGTGGTATTAATTCTGAGGGAAAATGTTGAATAAAAACCATGGATTATAGAGAAAATTCAAAATATATGTGTAATATTTAATTATTTTATAAGTTTTATAATAAAGAATTCTGTTTCTTTACCTTTGAAACTTGTTTTGTTCTTGAACAAGTTAGTGGGAAGTCAGTTATTTTATAGGTAATTTAAGTCTTGTTCAGGAATCTCAGAAAGAAACTTGAGAAGAAAAAAAGATGCAATAATGATTTTTCCCCACTTTATGTAGGAGGAAACGGGAAGCTCTTAAATTCTGAGATGGAACAGATGATATGTTTACCATGTTGAGATACTGAATCATTTTGTTCTATTGAAACAGGATCATAAGCATTTGGAAATCATCTAATATAAAATACCATAATTGTTTTATTTAAAAGGCATTTTGCTAATTTTTTTTTTTTTTTTTGCAAAAACGGGAAGGGAAAGATGGGATGGGACAGGAAAGTGGGAATAAAGAAAAAAAACTTAAGTGCAGTTTAAGTTTTTCAAATTTTAAATTATCAGATCCATGGAGACTAAAAACTAAGCAAAAGTAAATGCAAGTGGTCTAAATACACAGGATTTTCCCTGACACTTGTGGTCTCACCTTGCACACCCAGTCATGTGCATCTCTCTAAAATATGTTAATAGAATTTTATATGCATTATTGCTACTGAGAAAATTATGGTTAGAATATAAAATGGAACAGATGTCAGGAAAACAAAAAGGTATCTCTATATCTTTTGGTAATAAAGTTTCACCAGAACCAACTCCGTTCTTGGAGATAACACATGCCAGGTACTATGCTAAGTCTTACGTATGTTATCTCATTTAATTCACAACCAGTTAGCAAAATAGCCTTCCTCTTTGGCCACAAAAGAGGATCCTGGGATTTAGAAAGAGAATTCTGGGATTTGGCCCGAGGACAAATGGTTGAGATGGGGTTAGGACTCAAACCCAGGCCCACTGGGGTTCTCCTGTCACTGCCTTCCATTATCTTGGCAGAGATAAAGAATGTGTGGACCATCAAACTCTTAGGACACTTGAGATGCATGTGAATAGAGCTGGCAATAATGATTTAACAGTGATGAAGTCTGGGCAGAACTGGGAACCTAAGGGAGGCACTAAATTTCCACAAAAGCTACAGAAAGACTTGTTGCCTTAATTTCTACATCTTGTTTTTTGCTCATAACTGGTTTTCTCTGAGGTGTTAGTATTTCCTGAGCAGCAGTGTCTGCAGTCTGCAACCCCAAATCCGTTAGGATGGAGAGAAGATACACAGTAATGCACTGGAATGGGTTCATTTTGCTAACCACAGGGAAACAGGATTCCCCGCAGGGTGCATTGTTCAAGGAAAGGCTTATGGAATTAAGAGAGTAGAACACATTATGACTAATGGGATGAATTTTAAAAGTCCATTTCTTTTTGTATATAGTTTTACCTTTAGATGCTGTGCTTCGTTTGCCTCATCTTTCCCCCAAGATTTTATTTCCTTGAATACCTCTGCAGTCTTCACTGACGCTAAGGCTCTAGTCATCTACTTTTTAGAAGTTACTGCTGGTTCTGGGAGGTGACTGTTATGTGTTCCTCCTCCACAGAGGTCATAGGCTCCTGTGAAGCCAGGAGATAGGGTAAACTACACATCCAGGCCCAAATGAGCTAGCACAGCACAGTATACCATCAAAGCCTGGGGAAATGCAAAAGACAAAGAACGAGCCCTTAACCCAATAGAAGAATCACCGGAGGAAGAGAAATGCTAACAAAACAGTTTGTCTGGCCTACCTGAAGCCAGGAATGTCCCTGCGTTCTCTCATGGACACTGGTACCAAAGCCTGGATAAAACGCTAATGGGCCTAAACATCCATGGTATCCGCCTTGTGGAACACCCCTCTCACTGGCCGAGAGCTGCTTTTACTCTTTCTAATAAACACATATTCAGCCATTCCCCACACTTGCTATTTGCCACTTGCCTGCCTCAGTCTTTGTTGACCCAAACAAGGACTCGAGATCTGGGTACAAAGAGAAGTGATTCTCAAACTGCTGAGACACATTTACCACCTTCGTGAGCTTCCCATAAGCACATGTCTCCTCTGCTCATTTGTAAATCTATCCACTGTAGTAAAAAAATAGTATTGGCTCTACAGATGATCAGTTTGAAAAACAAATTTTATTCCACGATAGCCATAAAACAAAGCCTGGTAAATATTAACATACAAATTATAAATTTTAATTAAAAGTAAAATATTGTCATTATAATTGGTTTACAAAATTCTTACCTGAACAAAGAACCACACAAGATTAATAACTGAACTATTCCTAATTCTTCCAAAATATCCAGATTAGCATCACTAAGCTTAGGATAAGGAAGAAATATCTTGTTGATAGATTACCTTAAATCTCACCCAATTTGCACAGAGGAAAAAATTTTTTTTCTAATTGCACCTTGCTGATGGACCTGGACATTGTGAATCATGACTTAGTTTGACAAGCTTTGGGGCAGAGAAGGCATTCAAGATCCACGTAGAATGTGTTTTTCTGACTGTGCCCCATTTTTGTTTCTGCAAAGCCATAGTCCATCGCCTTCCCTTTTCCTTCACTACTGTCCTGTTTGAACATCATCAAAACATACTTGCAAGGTGTCCCTCTGTGTTTCCCTAAACCATGTTGAATGAGGGCCACAGGGGAGTTCATAATCAGGTCACTTAAGAAAAAAGTTAATTTTCTATCATTGTTGGTTGTTGTACCGGACAGCTGAGGTTCCATGGTCATCCCAAAATCTGAGCAGGAATGGAAAAGAGGCACCAATGTCCAGGAGCAGGAAATCCTGCAGGCCATTTCTCCCCATGCCATCCCCTCCTCTTCCTCATATACCCTTGGTATTATGTGGGTAAGTGAGGTAGAAGTATTATAGGCAGTCAGACAGGGCTGGGCCCTTGGAATCAGTGCAGAGGATGAGAACACATTACAGCTGTGGTTGGAGACGCACCTGCCAAAGGTCAGATAAAGACGGAATGACCAGGCCTACATGCCTCCCCCAAGGGATGAGCAATAAACTGAAGCTTCTACTCACCTGGTCCAATAAAGTCAGTCACTCAGGTGGGTTAACAGGACCTTGTGATCCATCCTTCCCTTGCTCTTTCCATGCACACTTGCTATGTGACCTGAATCCCCATTGGATCAATGTTATCCAAGAAGCTATACTTGTAAGATTAATGGTTGCTCATAGTTTTGACCTAAGTTGTAGCCATCTCATGATTTTGCTGTATAAAACTTGCTTTGAGAAATGGGCTCATTTTCTACTCACTTTTGGGTTTCCTCCTGTCTCTTAGGAGCGGTCTCTCTCAAATTTTCCCTACTCTTAACCTCCATTTTTCCTGAGAATTCATTCTTTGACTCTGGGGAACAGGAACTCAGTGTATCTGACATCTAGCAGGTTGGGGTTATGTTTTCCCTTATCACTGGCACCCTGTGGAGGCCACCTGTGTCCTCTACAGAGTAAGACAGCCCCTGATGTCACCCAGTGCTGCCCCATGTCCTCACACAGCATGGAACACTGTCCGGATGGCACCTTGTGGTCCTCCTCAGCCCTCCATTTGTGAGATGCACAGGCTTTGTGTAACTGCAACGCAGAATAAAGACAGTCTCTTTGCTGGGTCAGTGAGCAGAACCCTGGAAGGTGGACCTGTTTCTGCTGGAGAGCTGGCCCGGGCATGCTATGCTGTTGGACTTCTCTCCCTGCTTTCCTATGCCTGAGCACTGGAGATGCGCCTACAGCTTCCCTGTGTACAAAGCTTTGCCAGTGCTGCTGTCCTTGGGCAGCCCCTGGGGTCCTGCTGACTCTCTTCCCGCTTCCCAAGGCACCATGTCTCCCCTTTTGTCTCTGCCCTGCACCCATATCCTTTCAAAGCCAAGTTGGTCTCAGGACAATGGTTTCTAAGTAACTACTTGCATCACGATCACCTTAGGGTACCAGATACACAAACTTCTTTCCTTCCTTTCAAAAAATTGAGGTTTTTTTAAGCTTAGAGGTGGGACCCAAAAATTTTTGTTCAAAAGTTATTCAGGTTTCTATAAAACTATGGAGCCACTAGTCTAATAGGGGAGAAACAAAACACATCTTGGGGCTGTGTTCCCAGGTAGACAAAAGAGTTCTTGGCACACGCCGTGCAGGGGTTGGGCCAAACTCAGCTCATAAAACAGTGACTCCCTGCTCCTCCTCTATAGGTGTGCTCTGCCTGCAAACTGTTGTTTGGACAAAATAAGGCTTCATAGGTAGAGACCCAGGGTCCTCTTCAACTTTCTGTTTCTTCTCCTTCCCAAGCGCACCAGTCACCTACACTCCAGGGCTGGTGGATAAGGAGCCGTGGTATTGGGGATGAGTGGCTGTTTCTGTCAGTCAAGCACCCATAGACAAGAGTTACAGCACATCTTGAGAGGGAGGGAAAGAGGGAGGAGAGGTACAACAGAGGAAGCGGATAAAATGCTCATCAGAACATAGCTGGCACATCCAGCCCAAGGCCTCAGCTGTGCATATTTGTAGAGAAACCTGCAGTTCATGAAAATCTGAGACTTAGCGTCAAGGCAGAATAAAGGCTATGTCCTGTTTCCTGCCTGTCCTGGGGTGCCAAATCAAACAGTTTCGTGAATGGTGTCAACTGCCGTTCCATAATATCCTATGAGAGATCAATGGCTAACTTCACTGAACAAAATGCTAACAGCAGCTTTTGTACAAGAGGACACTGGAGGAAAAAGAGGGAAGGAGAAAGAGGAAGGGAAGGAGGAAGAAAGGAAAAGAGAAGAGAGGATAGGGAAAGAGGAAAGGGGAGGTGGGGAGAGGGGAAGAGGGGGAGAGGGAGAAGCTTGGGGAGGGGTGGAGAGAGACAGGTGCTAAGGTGACACAGGGAAGAGCTGATGGATGCTTGAGGCCAAACTGAAGCACAAAGAAATGGAACTTAGTTTTGCAGGGTTCTTGCGCTCTGATGCCTGTTGAATGGCTAAAGTTATTAAGTCCCAGTGTTTACATGTTTTTTTAAAAAAAGATTGTTTCCATATATACAAATAGAAATGTGTTAACTTTTGTGTTGTCCAAAACCAATAAAGGAATGATTGTGACTGTAT